CACCACGCACCACGCACGCACGCGGAGCTACACAGTGCGTGCTCGGGCGCATGCGCACAACCTCTCCACCGCAGCCAACACGTCGCTTCCCCCACACAGGGCCCTGTAGTCAGCACAGAGCTGCCCCTGGGGCTTCCGCGGCTGGACGTCTTGACAGAAGAGGGTGGTCTCATCTTTCTCCCAAGGAGCGGCTGGTGGATTCGAACCACCTGCCTTGCGGTTGGCAGCCCAACGCTCAACCCAAGGCACCACCAGGCGCACGTGTGAGCGTGCGAGGGAACCTGCCTGGGAGGTGTCTGCGGCCCTAGGCTAAGCCACACTCGCCCGCCTGCAGGAGCTACGGACGGTCCACTTCAGCCACGTCCCGGCCACGGATCCTCCCCAGCGCACCACGGGGACAGGGAGCCCAAGGCCTGGCTGCTGAGTCCCTGGGGCCACTGTCCGTGACAGCCGTGGACTGCGCTTAGAGAAAACGGGCCGACACCCTTCAACCACCGGCGGGCTTGGGACCCCTTTTCACTTACCACGGACATTCGTTCGTAGGCTCGAATGGAAGCCAGTCGATCTGCAGCCAAGGAGGAGGGAGCGCTTGGTGCCATGGCAGGTCTAACCGAGGGGGCAGTGTCCAGGGGGCTTCTGCTCCAGGGGACCCGGCCGCCCAGGAGAGCTGCTACCCAGGGCACAGAGGCCCAGGAGGGTTTCTGTCCCAGGGAACAGTTGGCTTCCAGCCCAGGGGACACAGCACCCAGGAGGACTCGTAACCCAGGCTGGCTTCTGTCCTAGCGGAGACAGTGGGTGGACACAGCAGTCCAGGGGGACAGTGGCCCAGGGAGGCTCCTGCCCCAGGGGACACAGTGACCCTGGGTGGGCACAGCGGCCTGAGTGGGTGCAGGGGCCCTGGGGGGGCTTCTGCACCTGAAGGGTCCCCCTGGACTGCCTCCATCTTCTCTTCCAGGGACATAATCTGCTTCTGGAGCAGGCTGTTCAGTTCCAGTTGGGTCTCGTATCGCGATTTCCAATCCCCACCTGAGCAACAAAGGGGAGGGTATGAGGACCACTGGCTGTGTATGTGCCTGTAATCATCCTCGTCACATGGGCTTCCGGCGCTCACAAACAGCCCTGCAGTGACAGTCAATTCATTATTTGATGTACCTCTTCTAGTCAAAGTCTTTAACTCCCATCAAAGGGCCTTGTCCTGCCTGGGTTTGGGTAAGGAGGTGGGAGAAGACAAATGGGATTCCCCTGTGAGTAATAAACATGAGTAGGATTGTGCCTGCCGTCCTGCTGGGTATAAAAAGAGCCCTCTGAGAAGCAGGAGGCGGGAAATGGTCACTGCCAGCCAGAGCCAGGAGTGCCTTGTATTCTTTGGACCTGAGGCCCCTGCACAGTGAACCTCCTTGGTCCAGGAGACAGCTGTAACTTCAGAGGGGCAGCAGAACCAGGCACCAGGGTGTGAGTCAGAGCAGTGGACTTCCCAGCACCCACAGAGCAGGTGAAGCTAAGCACCATGGACAGGAGGCTGGCTGGAGGCGTGGGTTCTCTGTGTGCACTGAACTCGGGGAGCTGGGTTCACTGACCCATGAAGCTTGAGCCCAGTGCCTTCAGATTGTTACAACAGCATGGCTCTGTTTGGATCATTGTAACGTCCCGACTGAGCAACTGAATCCTGAGCATTTCTCAGCTGCACTGCAGCCTGTTAACTTCTTAACAAACCCGTTCATCATGCATACTGCCTCTGAGTTCTGTACAGCCTTTGGAGTGACGGACTATGGAATCAGAAGGAAAATGCAGAGTGTTGTGAGAGAGCACATTTGGGGTCAGGAGAGTGGATTCCCTGCAGTGGCTCTGACTCGTAGAAGCATGGGGTTGTGTCGGAGATCAAGAAGAAGGCAGGAAAAGTAAAGCATCTGATTCCTAGAGTGATTGTTTCGGTTACTGTTACTTGTAATGGATGTAAGGAATGATATGCCGCAGCTCAGGGGAGAAAAGCTGCTTCTGGATGGACCTGGGGTGGGGAAAGCCTGGCTGATTAGGAAATGTCTGATTAGGCCAGTGCCTATTGGATGCACCCTGCTAGAGGCTTCCGGTCATATGTACAGACATGGACACAGGCCCTGGAGTAGAAAAGAGAGTATTAACTTTCAGTATTATCATGAAGGCTAAGGATTCGATATACTATTGACACT